ATGGTCTGTTTTACTCTAAAGCATGAAACTAGAGACTGAGACCAGAAACTCATCAGGAAACTGTTTACTGAACTCATTAATTAACTGCTCCATAAGATTCAATACTATCAGAGTGGAGCTGCCCCCTGCTGGCTGTTAGAGACACTGCAGGTTAAAGGTTTAAATGTTCCTAATGGAGAGTTTTTCTTCCTGCAGGTTTTCCAGGACAACTGCTGCAAACGAGAAATCTCCAATCTAGAAGTGTACTGCGCCAACTTCCCAGAATGCACCTCTGTCGTCACGTTACACAACTTGCAGGTAGACGACGAACCAACCGGCTCGTGTGTTACGATGTTTCAGTCCATTTTAACCCTTTAAGATCTCGTCCTCCGTTATATTTAACAATGTCTGCCAGAACATTCACACACACTCAGTTTCTCTGTGTTTTTATATTAAATCCAATCATTGTCTTCCTGTGAAACTAAATGTGACGCGTGCTTACGTCAACATAAACTAACTGATTTTAACCAATATCCTGACATTCACCCGTCAATCAATCTTTAGCTTTAGGTGAACTTTATACGATAACGTCCAGAGTCAGACGCTCAGATATCAGCAGCAGCAGGATGACCTCAGTGATTTAATGTATGCAGGACTTACTGTCAATGGTTACAAGTCCAGGAAAAACTGACAGAACCAAGAAAACACAAAGACTCAAATACACAGGTAAAAATAATCAGGGTCAAACTGGAGGGAAAACAGACAGGAAGTGAAGCAAAACAAGAAACAAGAGGAGGAAAATTACAAAATAAAACAGGAAGTAACCAAAGAAAACCCCAAACACAAAAATGAATGACTACTGACGCACCCGGTAAGGCACCTTGAGCCCAAAGCTTTACCACATTATGTAAATGTTAATAGATGATCTTCTCTTGCAGGAGCACCTGAGGTCGTGTCCGTATGAGCAGCTGCAGTGTTGCAACTCAGGCTGCAGGGCGGCGCTACAGAGGAGATACCTGCAGGAACACCAGACCGACACCTGTCCTCACCGCACCGAGCCCTGCCCACACTGCCAGCAGCTGCACCGACTCAGCCTCATCCAGGTAAATTTCACTGGGTCGGTACCGACTACAGGTGGTTCCGAAATGCCTCCGATGCTGCTTAAAAGGCAAGTACACGTGTTTGTGCACTACTGCTACTTCCAGCAGCGTCCCATTTGCCGTTTTTTCTCAGGATAGTCATAAATCACGACCAGTTCAGGTGTCAGGAAGGTAGAAACACAAAACTGTTTAATGAGGAAACTACTATAACTGTGTTGAAACATTGAGTCCTGATGTTGGTTTGTGGTGTCTCTGTTCTGAAGGATCACGTGCAGAGCTCCTGTCCGGAGGTGGAGGTGGACTGTCCCAACGGCTGCTCCCAGAAGGTTCCCAGACACAAGGTGAACTCATCATGAACAAATAGATACAGCCCACTTTGGTTTCAGCACCAAAGTACCAAGAATGAGCTGGCTCTGGTCCATGTGGTCCAGTTAGCTGCACTCGGGCCACAATCAGATCTGTTTGCTGATCAGCTGTTTGAATGTGTTTCTTGTCCTCCAGCTGTCAGAGCACAGTGAGACGTGTCCCGAAGTTCCCATCGACTGTTCCTATAAGAGGTTCGGCTGCTGCGTGCAGGTGGGTTCGTCTAAATATGATGGCGACACCGACCCGACTCTCTGTCTTCGTTACCTGAGAACTACTGTTTGGTCCTGCAGGGTAAGAGAGTGAAGGTGAAGCTGCATGAAGACGCTGCTGTCAATCATCACATGCTGCTGGTGCTGAGGAGCAACACCCACCTGGAACAACAGGTACGTCCAGTGAACTCACCTGAAAACAAAAAGTGAAGACATCCAGCGAGGTCTTCGATCTGTAGGGAGAAGTGATCCGCTCAGACTGCTGTCTCCTCGGTCAGGTGGAGGTTCTCCAGGAGGAGGCGCTGCAGAGGAAGCAGGAGGTCCAGACAGACAGTTTGCTGCTGGCCAGTCTGCAGAAGGAAATCAGACCGCTGCTGCAACAGAACGGCAGCCACGAACTCATCGTCTCTACAGCTCAGGTGACTTCTCACAAGGTTTATAACGCATCATAATCTGTGCTGGATCTGGTGAACCTGCTCGGAGCTGTACATGGAAGTATGACACATGCCATTTTCTGTCTGTCTGTGTGTCTGTCTGTCTGCGTGGTCAGAGGACTCTAAGCAGGCAGCAGGACGCTCTGTCCACCGTCCAGCTGGAGGTCCAGCAGGTGTCCCGGGCACTCGGCCCTGGTCTGGAGGAGCTTGAGCAGCTCAGGAAGTCTCTGGATGCTGTGATCCAGGAAGTGTCGGCGACCGAGGCCCTCAAAGAACACCTGGGTACCAAAACCTGAAAATCTGCGTCTATAAACCTGCTGCGAACTAATGATTGATGTAAATCAGCTAACTAGTTAGCTAGCATTTTACTATAGCACAAAATGTTAGCTAACTCATTAGCTAAGCTACGTCAATTGTTAATTAGCTAGCTCATTATCTAGATACAGAGCAAAATGCTAGCTAACTAGCTAGTTAATGTAGCTTTAAAGTAGGTCTTTTGTACAGTAATGATGAGGCCATAGATGTCTCTAACACATCGGCCCTCAGAGAAAGCGTTTCATTGGACGCAGCATTAGTATACGTCCCCGAGTACCATTAAGAACACCTGAAGATACCTGAAACAGGACTTCCTGTCCCTGTTGGACAGAAACTGGAGGACAGGAGACGTATAAAGACAGATGAGATAAAAACAATTCAAATCCATTTTGACTTTCAGTGAATGCTGTTGGTGTTTTCAGGAACTTTGGAGGAGAACCTGAAGCACCACTCGGGTCTCTTGGATCTCCATGCCGCTCAGCTCAACCGTAACAAGCAGCACCTGCAGGAGCTGGAGGCCACGTCCTACGACGGCAGACTGATCTGGAAGATCGACGACTTCAGGAACAGGAGGGAGGCCGAGGTCAGAGGTCAGCCGCCCTGCCTGAGCAGCGTGCCGTTCCACACCGGACGCTGCGGCTACAAAATGGCCGCTAAGGTCTATTTGAACGGGGACGGGGAGGGAAGAGGGACTCACCTGTCCCTGTATGTTGTCCTAATGCCGGGAGACTTTGATGCTCTGCTGCCGTGGCCCTTCAGACAGACTGTGTCTCTGTCTGTTCTGGATCAAAGTGGTGCAGGTAACCACCGGAGTCTCAGCTTCAGACCCGACCCGACGTCCAAGAGCTTCCAACGACCCGGCGCCGAGTCGGTCAGCAACGTCGCTGTTGGATTCTCATGCTTCATTCCCCTCAACAAGCTGGAGACGCCCCAGAACGCCGTGTACGTCAGCGACGACACGCTGTTCGTCAAAGTGAAGGTGGACATGACGGGTTTAGAGCAGCTGTAAGACTCCCAGTGTTGGCACCATCTGGAGGTCATTTCAAGAAGGACAACAAAATAATTTAAATCAAATTTAAACACATAAAGGAAATTACATGTTGTAACTTTAAAAGAATAGTTTGACATTTTGGGGAATTCTCTCAGGTTCTCATCTCTTATTCACTAAAATGTTGAACTTTTTCTGACAGCTTTAGGATCATCTCAGGGATGGAGGTCTGACTGTAGTTCCTGATAATTACTGAATACTCTTCATCTTGAGATCATGACTTAATTTTCAGATTATCTTAGGAAGGCATCTGGATCAAGTGATTTACGTCTGTTATCAGGACATTATGATCAGGTTATCTGGACGATCTCGAGTTAATAATTAATCTATTGTCTTTGAATAAAAAAAACAAAAACATAATTTATAATTTCAAGAAAACGAGATGATGAAGTTGTGATCACAACATAAACAGGAAGTTCTTTGTACGTGTTCATGTGTCTGTGCACTGATCTGGTAACCCTAATATTAGCTATAGATATTATATCATACCGTACAGGATTGTTTAAAATAATAATAATAAGAGATATGTATATATATTTTGAACTCACATGTATGGACGTGCTCAGCATCGTATTGTGCTACTGAAGACAGATTTACTGTTTATGTATTGGTCTGGAGGTCTTATAGGACCAGTGTGAAAGATTTAGTGGCCTCTAGTGGTAAAGTTGCAGATTACAACTTCCTTACTTGACCCTCCCGTTTAGGGATTCATATTTTTCTTCTTTAAATAATTTCTTTATTAAGTTCAACAAAGCTTCATTGGGGGTCGCGAGGCCTTCTGGATTCAGATAAGACAAGGAAACACTGAATTTACCAAAAGAAGAAGACTGTTAACTCTGTGTGTTAAAAATGATAAAAATACAGAATACTAAAAACAAGAATTATAAAAAAAGTTCCCTAAAGGGGAAATAATGAGCTCAAGTGTTACACAGACCTTTTGCACTTACTGAGTTCATTATTTGGGTCACTGAGTCAGTTTAACTAACTGACTCAGATGACATCATATTAAAATTACAATATATACATACACTATATAATACCTATATATATATATATAATATATATATATATACTAATATATATATGTTTTATATTTATATATATGTTATATATATATATTATATATATAATATATATAATATATATACATTAACACTATATATATTTTTATATATTATATATATATATACTATAATATATATATGTTATATATATTATATGTTTATATATATATTATTATATATAAAATATATATTATCTTCTATATATATATATATGTTTATATGTCAGGTTGGTCCACAGTGACGGAGACAGACTGAAAGGACGCTCACCAGCCACTATTTATTATTTTTATATATAATGACACTGATTGTTGATCAGCAAGGACATACCATTACAGTATTATTATTATTATAAGTGTTTGTCATTTTATTGTTGCTACGGAGACGAGGGATGCAGTGAATCGTCTCTCGTAATTAACTTATTATTATAATGTATCCATCAGGCCACTGAGCAGAAAAAATAAAGTCTGTATTATTAAATCAAGTGTTTCTTTTTCACTTTAATAACATTTATCTAATTTATTCCTTTAATTCCTTTTATTTTGATAATTTGCACAAAAACTAAACACTAAAATACTATTATGTTCAAGTGAACTTGATTTCAGACACATGCATCCATATTAACATAAAAACAACAAAAAAACAACACAGAGAAATTATTGCAGTCCAAGCACATTAAAACACATAGAGACGTTTGTTCCAGTGTTTCCACGGACCGAGAACTTTTTGTCACTGTGTGCGCTACAATGAACTCAATTAACAGACACATAAATCTGTACATAAAGTTCCTGAACGCAGCCTGAAAGGAGGGAACATTATCAGTCACAAACATCCGTCCTGCACCACAGGTGGGCAGTATAGAGCTGCGTACAGTCGCCTCTATAAAGGGCTGCTTTGATATCATCTGTACACGTTTGAAATCAGCACGGCAACATAATGTCACACTTTTCATCATCATTATCATCATCACATATATGGTTCCTGATGATGTGACCCCAATATCTCGCTCTGTTCACCACATTTAACTCTCACTCTGACATAAAGAATGAAGGAAAACTTTGATCCTCCTCCTCATCAGAGTTCAGTTTGTTGCTGTACGGCGATGGGACGACTTCATCATCAGCATATATCAGATGGTTAATAATACGACCCCCCACCATACCTCCAGTCTTGCACTGTTTTAGCTGTTCATATCATCATCCATATATAAGATCATCCATATACAGACTGAAGAGAACAGGGGACAGTGATCCACCTTGCTGATATACTCTAACAACTTCTGGCTTGCATGATTTCACTGTCACATCATGACAGTAAAAAAAAGTAAAAAACTGTAAACACTAAATAGATTAAATGAAGTTTATGTAACTAAGTAAAATACCCTCCTATCTCACTGCCTTTATTTATACAGCCTCTTAAATGAATTCATATGGAATGAAATGAAAAATGTTTTTTTCATATTACAGACTGTAAATGACACAGAAGACCACAGCATTCATACGGTAATTTCATGAGGCAAAACTTTTTCTTTTGATGGTAAAAACTTAAAAAATATGGAATAAAACTACAACTTTAGCTTTAAAATCAACAGTACTAATATCCTTTTATCGTAATAACCATATTTATCACAGTAAAGTGTCAACCATAGCTGCCAGTTTTAACTGTAAATTATACTTTTTCTTTACAGTGTAGGACTGCCAATGTTGCTTAACTTGTTACTATGGTTACCAAATAAGCCTGCATATACAGTACATACATCAATTAGAAGAGTTCACAGTCTGCAGATGGATTGATGATCAGTTTTAAATCAGTTAAAATCCCACATGTAAACAAACAACCTAAAATAAGATAATAAGGTTGGTCGGCTTCACATCACAAATAGTCGCAACCTCCAGGAGGTGCCAGAGTTCGGCTCGGACGGACGGGGCTAACGTATTCAGTCTGTGGGTGTCACTACGGTGCTCTTCACCACCAGCTTCTGCAGCTTGAAACTACTGTTTCTCTGTAGACCAGACAGCCGTTCCAGACCCGGTCCTTCTGGATCAGTCCGGCTCAGCTCCAGCTCTCGGAGGTGGGACGGGTTCAACGTCAGAGCCGAGGCCAGAGACTCACAGCTGCTGTCCGTGCATCCCGGCAGTCTGGCAAACAGACAGCAGGGTCTTAATACCACAGCAAAGACATCAATATTCACAGGAAATAATCTAATCTCAGTGATTGAGTTCACTGTTTGGGTTGGTTTGTACAGTGTATCAGCTGTTCGCTACAGTTATTGGTATTGATCAATAGAATATGAAATATACTGAAAAAATGTCCCTTAGTCAGGGGTTGGGTACCAGTGGTCTCATAGAGCAATGGACAAACATCAGGGACAAGAAAGAGAAACAGATTGAAAATAAAAAGCGACCGCTGCATAGCCTTATTTGAAAGGCAAGGAATTCTTTTTTTTTTTTCTGACAACAGGATCAAATGTTTGAGGACCTGGATGAAGCCCCACAGAAAGTGTAACAACCAGCTGCAGTCTAACACTCAAATCATCTCAAATAAGAGATCCATTACATTTATTGGTTTACAGAACTGATACCGGGGGAAGAAAGAATGATATAAAAAAGAATAAAAGTCACCTCAGTATCTCCAGTCTGCACTGGGGTTTCCTCAGCCAATCAGCAAGCAGAGTCAGCCCCTCGTCCGTCAGGCGGTATTGTAACTCAGGTCTAGTCTCTTTGAGAGCAGAGGAGCAGCTGAGGGCAAAGGTCAAAGACCGACAGCAGGCTTCTGTTAACGTGCAGCATTTCAGTCTGGAAGACATTTAAACAGAATGTTCAGGTGAGAGTTTTTGTGGAAGAGTATAAATAACCGTGTTATCCATGACTCTATCAGACATGTGAAGTTTGGTGCAGATTGGGCAAAGAACACTGAAGTAATGACAACTTCCTGTTTTATGGCGAAACGTCAAAATTGGACGCCACGCCGCGGACACTGTCACAAATAGCACAACTTTTAATCGTGATGGTCTTTAGATTGAACTGACCAAAAGTTCCCTGGGTGGAGTTTGTTAAAAACACACATTAAGGCATTCTGGGTAGGATTTTCAACAACTGTACTGACTCATACAAACATAGACGTCTCATTTTGCTGTGTGCTTGAGGTTTCTGGGCGTCAACCTGTTTGTGTGTTACTTCCCCCCAAGTCCAGCAGCTGTAGTGGATCCATTAGCGGACTCTGTCGGACTGGGAGCTCCAGACCAGGACTAAATGCAGCATCTGATGCTGACGGAGGACAGTTTGACTACAGGGAATAAAGGACTGAGGAGGGTTTAAATTAAATAGGGGTACATTATAACTGAGTTTGAGATCTTGAAAGGGTTAAAAAGCAATTTTGCATTATTATGAGGTGTTATAAACTATAAACTTTAATTATTATTTAATGTTGATGTTAAAAAACGCTCCTGGATGTGTGGCAGATGTGTCTTTTATTCAAAATGTGAATATAGTCATGATACTTACTTAAGTGTCTCCAGCTGACAAAGTGGCTCTGCCAGGAACTCAGAAAGGTTTTCGACACCAGCGTCTTGGAGGACATTTCTTGTCAGATCCAGGACTCTCAGGTGTCCTGGGTTTGACTTCAGACTGGAGGCCAGCACAGCACAGCCACTGTGTGTAAACTGACAGCCGACCAGTCTGTTGGGGAAAACAGTTCGAACTTACAGGTAGTAACAAGCAGTGGCAGCTCCAGACCCTGACCTCTGACCCAGTGTCTACCTATTGTGACGTCACCCACTGCTTTGTGGAGTAACGTCCAGAAGTCTGAAGTCATTAGGTTTGTCACAACGTACTGCGAGTTGAGCTGCTCTCATTGGCTGCTCAGTTTCGAGTCGTCCGTAGCAGGACACAATGGCGGCTCGCCTGGTCACACACGATCTCATATTCCAGATAAACAATAAAATATGTTTGTTCTTGCGACCTCAGTTTCCCTGTCAGCGCCCAATTTGAAAATCCTGACCCTAAGGGACACAGTTACAAGCCCTCTCTGTCTTTGAAGCACATTGGACACTGGATAGTCACTGAAACTGGAACACATCCTCCTATATTTTTTAAAACTGGGATCCACCTTCAAAGTCCGACAGAAACTTTGAGGTGGTCTGAACGTCCCTCTACCACAGTCCTGGCTGGTTATCTGATTGGTTACCTGTGGTAGACTAACTTACCAATCACAGAACATTCAATAGCATGTGTCTGGTGTCTCACCACAAGTTTGAGGACTGTCTCACCTCAGTGTATCCACTTTACAGTTTGGATCCTTGAGCAGAGCAGCGATCTTCATCACTCCACCATCACCCAGGGAGTTCCCCCCCAGATCCAGTTCCCTCAGCTGGGAAGGGTTTGAAGCCAGAGCTGAGGCCAGAGCGTCAACACTTTCCATTTGTAGGTTCGTCTTAAAAAGCCTTTATGAAAACACAAAGAAAGTAGAGACAATTTGTTCTTCCCCTTTCTCTTTTTCACCTGCCGACAATGAGCTCCAGGCTGGTGTAACAAACAGGAGGTTGTAAATAGAGCCCTGGTCAGGAATGTTTGATCCCACTCCCACAAGTGAGGAGACATTGTTTTACTGTGACTAACAACAGAGAAATTTGAACCCCAGACTGCCGGGTGTATGAATGTGTGTGAATGGGTGAAAGTGTTTTCAGTGGTCAGAAGACTAGAAAGACAATATCCAAGTACAGTCCATTTACCATTACTCTTATCTTTTCCGAAACTTACCCTAATTTCTCCAGCTGGAAGTCAGGATGCTTCAGTAATCCACAGAGCTGAGTGATTGCCTGTTCTGTAAAATGGTTCCTGCTCAGATCCAGGTTTTTCAGCTGAGATGGGTTCAAGCTGAGAGCTGAAGCCGGAGGTTCTCCTTTGAGGCCACACTCACATAACCTGCAGACGGGAAAGACACCTGGAGCTGAACTCTGTAGAGTACAGAATTTCCACTTGTACACAGAAATATAGAGGCATATACCTCTAGAGGATGAACCCTTTAGAGTTTAATGGCTACTCTAAGAACAAATAAATCCCATGTTGATTTTACCTCAGTGTTTCCAACGTGCATTGGTTGAGAGTTCTTGAAAGTAGCTCCAGTCCTTCGTCAAGAAATCTATTGTTGCTGAGATCCAGCTCTCTCAGGTGGGAGGAGTTTGAAGCCAGACCACTGGCCAAAGCTTGGCATCCTTTTTTTGTAATGCCACAGTCCTGTAAACTACACAAAAACAAAACAAAATGAGTCATTAGTGGACAGAGCTTCCAGATATAACGGCCGGCTGATGAGCTCAGTAAAAAGTTTCCTGATGAGTTTATAATCTCAGTCTCAGTCGCTCTAATCTGTTAACATGGGCTCTGAAATAAAAATCGAGACGTTCCACCACGCAGACGGGAGTGCAAAATATTGCACAGTATCAGTAACAGTTGTAACATAAACTGCAAGGCCTGTACGTTACTTACCGGAGTCTCTGCAGTTTGCAGTTGGGACTTTTTAGACCATCAGAGAGCAGCGTCAATCCATAGTCCTGCAGATTATTTTTGCTCAGGTCTAACTCCTCCAGACGAGAAGACTTAAAGCTGAGAACTGACGAGATATTCTGGCAACAACTGTCCACAAGGTTGCAGTCACTTAGCCTAAAGTGAAGAGCAAATGTTAACATCTACACACACTTTTCTCTTGCAGTTGGGTTTCTTCAGGACAAATACTTACAAAGCTGTCTTTGCTACTCTGAGCACAGGCAGAAGCCTCTTCAGAACTTCTTCTGATTTGTGGTATTCCTGCAGGTCAAACACATCCAGGTCATCAGTGGAAACCAGCAGTAGATAGGCCAGAGCCGACCAATGTGCAGGGGAGATTTTACTGACATCTCCTGAGCTCTGGTACTTTTGGACTTGCTCAACCAGAGACTGGTCCCCCAACTCATTTAAACAGTGGAACAGGTTGATACTTTTGTCGGTGTAGGACAGTTTCTTGATCTTCTCGTGGATGCGGGTGATTGTCATCTTGTTGCTCTGTGGGGGTCTTTCTTTAAATTGAAAGAATTTCTGAAGCAGTTCCTGATTTTGAACCTGTGATAGACCGAGAAGGAAGCGCACAAACAAGTCCCATTGTCCATAATCGCTGTCCAAAGCCATATCCACTGCGCTCTTGTGGAGGAGGATGAGGGGAAGTTCTCCTTTGTCTGACACAACTTTCACTTTCACTTTGGAAAGCAGATTTTTTCCGCTATCTATAAACGTCTCTAATACATACAGAGCTGCAAGAAACTCCTGAATACTTAAATGTATAAAAGAATAAATATTTTGTTTGTGAAGGCCAAATTCTTTTCTGATGATCTGCGTGCAAACCCCTGAATAAACGGCAGCTTGCGTCAGATCAATCTGACAACTTTTCAAATCATCTTCATAGAAGATTATGTTGCCCTTCTGTAGCTGTTCAAATGCCAGTTTTCCCAACTTCATGATCACATCTTTGTCTGTTTCACCTTCGTGATAATCCTTTTCATTGTTCCGTTTTGTCTGGACGATCAGGAAGTGTGTGTACATTTCAGTCACGGTCTTGGGCAGCTCTCCTCTCTGAGTTTTGGTTAGGAGACTCTGGAGAGCCGTGGCTGAAATCCAACAGAAGACCGGGATGTGGCACATGATGTACAGACTTCTCAGAGGCTTTGACTGAAGATGATCAAAGATCTTCTGAGCCACATCCTTGTCACTAACATTCCTCTGAAAGTACTCCTCCTTCTGCTCGTCGTTAAAGCCTCGCACCTCAGTTACCCTGTCGATGAACTTGGCAGGAATCTTAGTGGCTGCAGCCGGTCTACTTGTGATCCAGACTGAGGCTTTGTGCAGCAGTTTCCCTGTGATTAAGTTGGTTAGTAGAACGTCTAATGTTGTAGTGTCAGTAACACTGTGGCACATCTTATTTTTCTTAATGTCCAGAGGCAGTTTGCTTTCATCCAGGCCGTCAAAGATGAACAAGATACTTATGTTACTGTAGTCTGACGCTTCTAAATCCCCCACTTTAAAATAGTAAGCTATTAACTCTGTAAGACTCCAATCCTTATCTTTTATTAAGTTCAACTCTCTGAATGTGAACGGAAATATGAACTCAATGGTTTGGTTGGCTTTTCCTACTGCCCAGTCATGGGTGAATTTCTGCACAGCGACAGTTTTTCCGATGCCAGCGATCCCCTTGGTCAGAACTCTCTGTGGAGGATCGTCTTCCTTTATTAATGGTTCAAAAATGTCGTTGAGGTGGATTTTCTTCTCCTCACTCGAACTCCTTGTACATTCTAATTCAATCACTTCGTGTTCATGATTAACCTCCCCACTGCCTCCCTCTGTGATGTAAAGCTCCGTATAGCTCTTGTTTAATTGAGTTTGGGATCCATCTTCCTCTGTTCCTTGAAGCAGATTCTTAGTTTGATATTTGAGGTAAGATTTGAGAGCATCTTGGCACTTTTGGATGTTTTCTGAAGGAAGAATAAAATCAGTTACATGACTCATTTATTTTCTCATACTCTTCAAAGTTAGCTCACACTGTATGTATGTATGCAAGGCTTTCAGACAAACAGACGAACCAAAGAACCAGACCCAAACCACGACTTAAGTTCGCTATGGTTCTGGCTCAGTTCTAGATTTAATGGAGAGCCGGTACAAAAGTAACGTGGTACAAACGTAATGCCCTCGTGAGTCCATCAGTACGAACAGCACACAACACCAAAACTGCTGAAAATGGCCTCTATACATCATACTCTCACAGTTTTCATTTTCTTTTTAATTACGATTTGTCATGTTTATTGTTTTATGTGTCTTATTTATGATCATTTGACAAATTATTTAGTACTTTAACTCATCAAGTAGAGTTTCTCAATATAGAGGTAAATCAGGTTGAACTGTCAGAAGTCACTTCCAAACACACGAGTTAACACAAATTATTTTTGTTTCTATAACGTTATCTTATAAAATGATGCTTATCTGAAAAGTGATCATGGTAATGAACTTGTCCTCTCCATACCACCTACATAATATTTTGTTATATAGTTATGTTTTAGTAGCAGAAGGTCAAGATTTTATCATAAATCAATCAATTTAACGTGTGTTGTATCTTTTTGTTTAAACAGTACAATACCTTTGGTTGTGGGAGAAATGTGGTGAGTCTGTTCTGTGCTGGCAGGATGTTGGACTGAAACAGAAACATCTCTTAAGAAATGCAAAATTATGAAAGACATTTCATTAACACGTAATTAAACATGAAGTATATTTACCATATGTGTTGATGTTTATATTCCCTCCCACATTAACACTAGAGAGCTGAGGTGTGTTGACCACACTTCCGCTGTGGGCGTTGACTGTCGAGCTTCCTGCTTCCCTCTGAGTTTCAGCTGATTGGGAAAAAACTAAACGATCAGGAACCAGGAATATTTGAATATTTGTTGTACCTTCCTTGACCTGCAGAACTAGGAAAGTAAAAATGTTATTATGTGACTTGAGTAGAAAGTCTCTGCGTCAGGTTCATTGCACAAATATCAAACTCTCTGTTTAAGATTCTCGTCACAGAAAGAAAGAAACGGCATTCATCATATTATAGACTATTTCCAAAAATATAACAAATTAGAAAAAACTTAGTTTGAAGGAGGAAGAACTGAACTTCTGGAAAACTGTCAGAGGGGGAAGAAGTCCTTAAATTCCACCGGGCACAGCTTTATAACGTCGCGTCTATGTCTCAGTTTGGCTCTGTGACACTATCCTGCATTCATAGCACATGCAAAGAACTGCATGGGCTTAGTATAAAGTGTCTGTAAACGGAGACTTGTGGGTTCCCATAGAACCCATTTTCATTCGGATTTTTCGAGGTCAGAGGTCAAGTTCAAGTGCGCACTGTATTATACTACTAAGTGTCGGATTGATAGTGAACATTGAATGACTCGGATCGGGGGCTGAAAGAACATCCATAGTTGCAACTTCAAAAAATCTTAATATTATTTCTACACTGTTAAAATATATTTTAAAAAAACAACAAATGGACAGAAAGACTTCCCATCACGTGATGTTTTAACGACCATAGGATGGGCGGGGTTGGTGCTGCCTTTACGCTTGGCTATCAATCAGTGACACACAATAAGAAACAATCTTACCGCTCTGTGACGTTGGAGCCGAAGTCTGGTGTCCCATTGTTCCTTCAGCCAGCAGCTCCTCTCACGGTACACAACAGGAACACACACTGTACCGGGATACACGCACAGGAACACACATTAACGATGCAGCGTTAATGGACGGTGTTTCATGATGAACATGTTGCCTGCCAATGAATGCACAGTCGTCAATTCATCATTTAATAGCTAATGAACTTTAATACTTAATTTATACAACGTTGTTAAGAATAGTAAATAATAATAAATAAATAAAGCTACATGACATTATTAAACATAAGGCTTTAAATAGACCCAGTGATCGGTCTCAAAAACCCTGATCGGAACACCTTTACTACACATACAGACTGAAGTTATCTGCCGTCTTATCTTGGACTGGTAGTCCTGTAGAACAACACAAACTGTCTCGGCCTATCACAACTCAGCTCCACCCAGGCTCCACCCTCTTTGCCCATATTAGGATTTCCTGGCAGCTGATCAAAGTTCAGTCAAAGGCTGTCAACTCACATTATAATCTAACTTGTTTCCTGGTTCAGATTAAATCAGACTACAGTGAACATGACAAGGCTCAGTTTGTCCAAAAAGTCACATATCATAGAATAATTAGTGAATGAATTCATGAATATTCAGACCTACAAACAATAAATAACAATGTTGAAAGAATTCATCACTGTTTATTATGTAGCCCCAAAATATAACCAATGACAGCAGAGTTCCTTCATCAAAGCTGTATCATGTTACCTGTCAGGGTTCTCACCTGTTAAAGTCCAGATGAGCTCAGAGACTTTCTACCTTCGTCTGCAGACGCTGACAGTCGCTGCTGGTGTCTGTGTTCATCTGACAAACAGCCGTCACACCCTTATTTATTCAAACCAGAATCCAGAAACGTCAGTCTGACGAGAGAGCAGAAACCCAGTCTGAGCTGTAGTGCTGCCAGTCAGCAGCAGGGGTCACTGAAAGGTCTGATGGGAGAGTTTTCACAGCAGCTTGAGACACTGACAGAGTTTCAAAAAGTCCAAACTGCAGAAAGACTGAAGCCCCAAAAAGAAGAAGAGAAAGAAAAACAGGTTATTAGTTGAATGTGTGAGGGAGAACAGTCTGTAAACTCAACACAAACTGGATCAACAGAGAGACAGAGAGGTCGACTGACACTAACCAACAGATAGCTGACACACACTTACACTGAAACTCTCAAA